CCAAAGTCTATGTAGACTGCTGTCCAACAAACCAAAGTCTATGCAGATTGATGTCCAACAGACCAAAGTCTATTTAGACTGCTTTTCAACAGACCAAAGTCTATGTAGACTGCTGCCCAACAGACCAAAGTCTATGTAGACTGCTGTCTAACAGACCAAAGTCTATGTAGATTGCTGTCTAAAAGACCAAAGTCTATGTAAAATGTTGTCCAACAGACCAAAGTCTATGTAGATTGCGGTCCAACAAACCAAAGTCTATGCAGATTGATGTCCAACAGACCAAAGTCTATTTAGACTGTTTTTCAACAGACCAAAGTCTATGTAGACTGCTGTTCAACAGACCAAAGTCTATGTAGACTGCTGCCCAACAGACCAAAGTCTATGTAGACTGCTGTTCAACAGACCAAAGTCTATGTAGACTGTTGTTCAACAGATCAAAGTCTATGTAGACTGTTGTCCAACAGACCGAAGTCTATTTAGACTGCTGTCCAACGAACCAAAGTCTATGTAGACTGCTGTCCAACGAACCAAAGTCTATGTAGATTGCTGTCCAACATACCAAAGTCTATGTAGACTGCTGTCCATCAGACCAAAGTCTATGTAGACTGCTGTCCATCAGTCCAAAGTCTATGGACTGCTGTCCAACATACCAAAGTCTATGTAGATTGCTGTCCAACAGACCAAAGTCTATGTAGATTGCTGTCAAACATACCAAAGTCTATGTAGATTGCTGTCCAACAGACCAAAGTCTATGTAGATTGCTGTCTAACAGACCAAAGTCTATGTAAACTGTTGTCCAACAGACCAAAGTCTATGTAGACTGCTGTCCAACAGACCAAAGTCTGTATATTGCTGTCCAACAGACCAAAGTCTATGTAGACTGCTGTTCAACAGACCAAAGTCTATGTAGACTGTTGTCCAACAGACCAAAGTCTATGTAGACTGTTGTCCAACAGACCAAAGTCTGTGTAGACTGCTGTCCAACAGACCAAAGTCTATGATGACTGCTGTTCAACAGATCAAAGTCTATGTAGATTGCTGTCCAACAGACCAAAGTCTATGTAGACTGTTGTTCAACAGATCAAAGTCTATGTAGACTGTTGTCCAACAGACATAAGTCTATGTAGATTGCTGTCCATCAGACCAAAGTCATGTAGTTTACATGGATCATTGTTTAGAAGACTGAATACTTTGGATTGCCATTACCAAATCTATGACATCTATGAACTGCCACCCAGCAGAGTGAAGTCCAGTTTGATAACATACATACGTTATACATTACTTGTTATCATGTAGCTTTAGACAGACCCTTACCTTTCCATTAATGTAGTTATTTATTTACATTTCATTTTTTTAGCTCACCTGGTCCAAAGGACCGGTGAGCTTATGCCATGGCGCGGCATCCAGGCCTGAGGGGCGGGGCCCAATAGGGAAACATAGCAAATTATTCTTTAAAATCCTTCTTCTGTAGGAATAAACGGATTTGGTCCATATTTGGTGTGGAGCATTCTTGGGTAGCCAATTTTGTATAATATTGAATCCTTCTTCGACCATAGGGGTTGGGCTCTGTTTGAAGTTTGTTCTCGCTATATTTCAAGTACTGGATCGATCTTTCTGATTTTTTTATGTACTTACAGCATTTACCATGGAGTGTATACCTTTACTTCATACCAATTATTCAGGTGAGTGATACAGGCCCTCAGGGCCTCTTGTGTTTTATTTTTAAACTAGGTTCATTTTGTGTTTGTTATTTGTTACAGCATACATTTTATGATGAAATACTGCCATTTACTGGGCTGTCATGGTCAGTTGCGTTGGTTTCATTCAGGTATCTTACTAGTGCTGAGTTGAAATAAAACCAACCATGCATTTTGTGTATAACAGGATTTATTGTCGTACTGACATGTTGGAAGCAGTCTGTGTGTCTTCTCATGCAGATATTTGTAAGTAGGATTAGGCCAAAGGAAAAAATATGTATGTTTCAGATATCCTGACTGAAAAAGTAGGGTAGATCTGGAGATTTTTCGGGGGCAAATTTGAGATATTACAAAAGTTACCGAACAAAATTATTCAGACCAATTGATTTATTGATTTTAAATGTTTTGGGTCACTTAACAATGGTATGGGATTTAATTTTGGTTTTGATACCTGCCTATAAAAAAGAAAAATGTTGCAAAGAGGCTGTTTTTTCGATGGTTATGAATGGATGTTTAAGTGCATCCGTCCGAGAGAGATAAAATTGTTAGGGTCGGAGGTAAAAACTAAGTGTCGGTCAGGGTACCTAAAACATACATAGGTAAAAACTGGCTTCGGTCAGGGAACCTAAAACATACATACTTTTTTGGCCTTACTTCTGATGTATGATGATTGTTGATGGAATAAATTTTCATAGATACATACTTTCAGAGTTTACGTTTTGTTTCCAGTAATTTACTTATACACATGCTGTATAGCTAAATTAGATGATACATTTATGGATTATGTACAGATGAAGTTGTAAATGTCCTAGCCAATCAAAGGCCCCGGTTGGCCATCTGGAACTTTAAAATTAACAAGAGGCCCAAATGGCCTGTATCGTTCATCTGAAGCAGTCATAGCAAAAATCATGTTGGGCCTAATATATCAAATTAGATTTAGATAAAGCTATAGGATAAAGTAAGTAATGGTCATTTTCATTCACAAATTTTGTTGGGCTCCATCTAAGGAAACTACTTGTTAAATATCATGACTCCATGCCTTTCACTTCTTCAAAAGAAGTTTGTGACCCTGAATGTAGGTTGAGGTAATTTTCAATAGCAAACTTTGTCTGGCTCCATCTGTGAAAGTCATTTGAAATGTTTGAAATATTTGACGTCTGTGACCTTGAAAGTAGGCTGAGGTCATTTTCATTCACAAACATTGTCGGGCTCAATCCAAAAAAGTGACCAGCCAAATAATATGATTCTATGCATTTCAATTATTCAGAAGAAGTCATTTGATAAGTTCCACATATTTGACCCCTGTGACCTTGAAAGTGGTTCTAGGTAATTTTCATTTGCAAGCTCAATCCCTAGAAGCTACCAGACAAATATTAAGATTCTTCAGAAAAGTTGTTTTAAGTATTTGACACTTTTGACCCCTGTGACCTTGAAAGAAGGTCAAGGTCATTTTTGTTCTCAAACTTTGTTGGGCTCTTACCAACAAATCTATCACCAAAATATCATGACTGTAGGCCTGTTCATTCTTTAGAAGAAGTCATTCAAAGGAAATGTTGATGAACGACCACGCCGGATGGACACCAACGGACGGACCGACGACAGACGCCATGGCATGGCATAAGCTCACTAGCTCTTCGGGCAGGTGAGCTAAAAATCAGCATGAAAAGTAACAAACTTGGTTGAAACCTCATAAGGAACACTTCTACTAAGTCTTAAGAAGAAGTCAAGAATATCTCAGTCAATGAGAGGACAGGGTGACCATCTTGGATTTTTTGATCAGCACTAAAAGTAAGAGCACTTGTTCAGAACCTCATAAGGAACATTTGTACAAACAAAAAAGTGAATTGCTATCAAAAATTTCTCATCTTAGGAAATCAGAGGCTGGGATCGGCCATCTTGTATTCTCGGATTGGCAGTAACTCTGCCAGTTACTGTCTGATTGAGACCATTTGCGAATCTGTTCGAGATCTTATTGATATTAAGCAGCATAATAAAATTCATGGAAATCCATTCACATTTACTCAAGTTATTGCGCTCACAAGCTCAAGTCCCATTGGCTCCAAAAGTAATTAAAATTTCAAAGTCCCATAACTCTGCCAGTTACTGTAGGATAGGGACTATTTTTGAACTCGTCTGAGATCTTATTGATATAAAGCAGCATAGCATAATTTATTGAAATTCCTTTCACTTTTACTCAAGTTATCGTGCTCACAAGATAAAAGATAATACACAGCGCACCACACAGGGTGCATGACAACAGACAAAGACGGATCGCACTAGGTCACCACGACCTATGGTACAAAGAGGTTAAAGTGTTGCAGTTTGACAAATTGAAAGTGTGGTACATGTCAATTCTAATGGAAGAAAAATTCTATAATTTAACCGTGATGGAATTTCTGAAATGTCTGACTTGGAATGCTTATGAAGTCTTAATGATATATATCATATATCATTGTTGTAAATAAGGAAGCATTATTGATGACATCAAATCGTAACTGTGAAATATCTGAAGATGAAAATGAAAGCACTCAGGTTTTACACCTCTGTGTTCTTAGTTTTAGCTTTTTCTATAATAGATACATGCAGTATTTATAATTTATACAGAAACAATAATTTGTTAATAGATTATTGTGTTTACGTACAGAACTTCAACATTATATTACACAAGTGCCACAAGATATGTAATACTTTAGTCCTTTGGTTATATCAGATCAACTCGTCAACAAATAACTGCTTTCATTATAATATTTACTGTGTAAAATACAAACTTTAAGAGAGATCCCATAAATATGATTTAGAGGTCCCTCTTGATTATGTAAGTAAATTGATCCTGAGGAGATCCAAGAGGTTATAGATTTTCTCTCTCACTCCATTGTTATAAACACTTGTGCTACTACATATGTGACTGATGTTAACTCTCTCACTCCATTGATATAAACACCTGATATACTACATATGTGACTCATGTTAACTCTCTCACTCCATTGTTATAAACACCTGATATACTACATATCTGAATCATGTTAACTCTCTCACTCCATTGATATAAACACTTGTGCTACTACATGTGTGACTAATGTTAACTCTCTCACTCCATTGATATAAACACTTGAGTTACTATATATGTTACTTACATACTAAGTAAGTGCATTCTTTGATTATAAGTTTATAATTTCAGGATCTTGATATGGAAGTCTCCTAAATACAGGTTTCAAAAAGTTTTTAAAACATTTTGTATATAAGTTAAGCTTCAATAACATACAAAGAATTCTGTTTTTGAATACTTAAACAAAATCCTTATTTAAATCCTAAACACTTGGTTCCATTTTGTACCTTAAATTTCCACTGCACTGTTGAGAAAATACCCTTAATGCAAAATCACAAATGTTCAAACACAACTATCACCACCGACACTGACTGAATTTCGGTCCATGTGTGGTCACACTGGAGCCTCGCGGGGCTCAATCAAGATCTCATTGATCCCCACATGTGGTGGCTGTGTGACAGCATACAGAACAGCACGCGCCACATCCTCCGCATCCAGGATGCGACACAACTGGCTGCCATCATAGGCTTCCTTAGCCTGAAACAAAGGAAGACATTTGCACAATTCTTTCTGTGAATATGAAAGCAATAACAAATGAGCTTTAAGTGAATGCCTTTAGTCTCTATGCGAATGAGTTCACCAATTTTGTGTAGAATAATTGAACATATACATGATTGAGTGGGTTTAAACAAGAATATTGACATAACTTTGGCCAACATGTACAGTACACTTAGTGGAAGGTCAACAGCACACTTATTGGGAGGTCAACAGTACACTTAGTGGAGGTCAACAGTACACTTAGTGGGAGGTCAACACCATGCTTAGTGAGTGGGAGGTCAAAATTACACTTAGAGGGAGGTCAACAGTACACTTAGTGGAGGTCAACAGTACACTTAGTGGGAGGTCAACACCATGCTTAGTGGGAGGTCAAAATTACACTTAGTGGGTCATCAGAACACATAGTGGGAAGTCAAAGTTACACTTAGAGGGAGGTCAACAGTACGCTTAGTGGGAGGTCAACAGAACACTTATTGGGAGGTCAAAAGTACACTTAGTGGGAGATCAGCATTACACTTAGTGGGAGGTCAACATTATACAATTGTTTCATGGCTATTTGGCAAAAAGTCAAAACTATCATCCCGAGGTAGGGGGAAGCCCTGTGGAACAGTTCCACAGGGCTTCCCCCTACCTCGGGATGATAGTTTTGACTGTTTGCCAAATAGCCATGAAACAATTGTTTTATTACCAAATAAATATTAGTATCAATGCTGCATGCAATGTTGCCATTGCTTCAACACTGAGTCGGGGTCACCGAAACGCTTGAACGGGGCTCTCGAGGGGGATTTCTGCGCATCGAATTCGCGCCGGGTAACAGTTCGCTCTGACCGGGAAAACAGTTTTGACTGTTTCACCCCTACAGCCAAAATTGGACAAAGGGCCAGAAACAGTCAAAAATGACTAAATATAATTTATATAGACTATTTGGTAATAATACACTTTGTGAGAGATCACAAAAATATACCTAGTTGGAGGTCAGCAGTACACTGAGTGGGAGGTCAACAGTACACCTAGCAAGAGGTCAAAAGTACACTTAGTGGGAGGTCAACAGTACACTTAGTGGGAGGTCAACAGTACACTTAGTGGGAGATCACAAAAGTATACCTAGTGGAAGGTCAGCAGTACACTGAGTGGGTGTTCAACAGTACACTTAGCAAGAGGTCAACAGTACACTAAGTGGGAGGTCAACAGTACACTTAGTAAGAGGTCAACTGTACAATTAGTTAAACCTCAAACAGTACATTAAGTGAGAGATCAGCACTTCACTGAGTGGGATATCAATAGTTCACTTTTTGGGAGATACACAGTACATTTAGTGGGATATACACAGTACACTTAGTAAGAGGTCAATAGTACACTTATTGGGAGATCAACAGTACACTTAGTGGGAGATCAACAGTACACTCAGTGGGAGATCAACAGTACACTTAGTGGGAGATCAACAGTACACTTAGTGGGATATCATCAGTACATTCAGTGGGAGGTCAACAGTACACTTAGTAGGATATCAACAGTACACTCAGTGGGAGGTCAACAGTACACTTAGTGGGAGGTCAACAGTACACCCAGTGGGAGGTCCACAGTACACTTAGTAGGACATCATCAGTACACTTAGTAGGATATCAACAGTGCATTTAGTAGGATATCAACAGTACACCCAGTGGGAGGTCAACCGTACACTTAGTAGGACATCATCAGTACACTTAGTAGGATATCAACAGTCCATTTAGTAGGATATCACCAGTACACTTAGTAGGATACCAACAGTACACTTAGTAGGATATCAACAGTACGCTTAGTAGGATATCAACAGTACATTTAGTAGGATATCAACAGTACACCCAGTGGGAGGTCAACCGTACACTTAGTAGGACATCATCAGTACACTTAGTAGGATATCAACAGTACATTTAGTAGGATATCACCATTACACTTAGTAGGATATGAACAGTACACTTAGTAGGATATCACCAGTACACTTAGTAGGATATGAACAGTACACTCAGTGGGAGGTCCACAGTACACTTAGTAGGATATGAACAGTACACTTAGTAGGAGGTCCACAGTACACTTAGTAGGATATCAACAGTACATTTAGTAGGATATCACCAGTACACTTAGTAGGATATGAACAGTACACTTAGTAGGATATCACCAGTACACTTAGTAGGATATCAACAGTACACTTAGTAGGATATCAACAGTACATTTAGTAGGATATCAACAGTACACTCAGTGGGAGGTCCACAGTACACTTAGTAAGAGATCAACAGTACACTTATTGGGAGGTTAACATTATGTTCCATAGTAAGTTCATTTGGAAGTCAGTATTTAAACAAGAAACTAAAGACAGGTACCTCTGGGTCAGTGTTGTGTACCAGGAGTTCTGTAGCGACATCACCAGGCTGTATACAGGTCACACGCAACCCTGACTTACACACTTCCTGTCGCAGGGCCTGGGACAACCCCTCTACATAGAACTTTGTTCCTGAGTACACAGCAAGACCAGGAAATCCCTGAAACAGTGAACAGCTATTTATTGTACATGAGTATGTGATTGGGAATCCCTGAAAGAAAAAGGCTATTTACAGCAAACAGATATCTAGCAAGGGAAATCATGAATGAGACAGTGTCTATTTATAGTTTGTATCCTAAATAATCTCCAACACCTATAAAACATAGGAGTAATTACCACCAAGTTTGTTTAAATGAATGACCTCAATCATAACCCGCTTTCAAGGTCACTGTGGTCAAATATATGAAAATATTTAAACAACCTAGTAGCATGTTAGGATGATAGGCTATCAAGTTTGTTCAAATGAATGACATGATCCACTTTCAAGGTCACATGGGTCAAAAGTGTGAAAATATTTTAACAACCTCTTTCAATGACCAAAAGTCTAAGAGTGAGGATATCTGGCCAGTAGCATGTTAAGAATAATGGGCTGCAAAGTTTGTATAAATGAATGACCTTGAACAAATGTCAAGGTCACAGGGGTCAAATGTAAATGTGTTGATATCTTTTAACAACCCCGACTCAATAACAAAAGTCTCGGGTAGATATCTTTGGCCTGTAGCTTAATTGGGCTCATTTTTATGTAATTAACTTTGGTCCACTTTAAATGTTATTGGTGTGAGACTAATACCAGGTGCGCGATCCAGGCCCAGTGGACCTCTTGTTTAGATGTAGGCTCAAATGTTTAATCAGTGCTGTAATGAGTACACACCTTTTTCCCGGCATCTGAGGACATGTTGACAATGTGTCCCGACTTGCGCTCCAACATCCCGTCCAGGACAGCCCCGATGCCATTAGTTAAACCCTGTGTATACAGCAATAATATACCAAGATCAGAACTATACAGTAGCACTTAATGGATACATGTTGATACTTTATACTAGGACATTACTGTCACAGTTTAACTTCCGCCTTTTCCCGACCGTTGTAATGAGGGCGAACTTACCACAACAACGAAAATAAGTACATGACATAATGATATATTTTAAGGACGAAATTAACACTGAGAGAAAATGGATTCTACCAGTGAAGGGCGAACAATTTGACTAAGGAAAAGTTTCCAGTATACAGTAATAATAAGGTAACTAAATACATTCTAGCAATACAGAGTACGATTCAAAAAACAGTAATTAATAACACATTACTGGTAATATGCAATACCACAAAGGATTGTAGGTCTATATCAGCTAGTTCTCTCCTACAGAGTAACACTATGTAGGATATATACTTCAGATGTATCAATGCAATCATTGTTAAGGACATGTTCCCTAAGAGGAAATGTCTTTCCTATGTGGTTTTACACTTGGAATTATTTTGTAAATAAAAGTTTCAAAATCACCCAGTATGGTCAACTTTGACTCGTATAAGATCTATATTTATTCACATTCTCTCTATGCTGATATATCTGCAGATATTTAGTCATTCTAGATCAAGGTTAACTAACATACAATGTATATAGATACTAGATATAGATAGGTATTTGGCATGTAGTAACAGTCCACAGAATACTTAAATACATTGAATTATTCCACTGCCGACTGACCTTGATATTGACATCTATCTGTCTATCCCACTCGTCCTCGTGAAGGTTCTTCATCATGGTGTAGTACATGGTGCCGGCATTATTGACCAGGATGTCGACTGGACCAAGGATGGACTCTGTTTGACTGACTAACTGTTTCACCTGTATATAAAACATCAAAACACTGAAAAATAACCAGTGATATGATAAGAACACATGTTTATAGACTACAAGTATTTAACAGACTGTCTCATTGTCAGCTGTATACCGATTGATACTGGACTACTGTGTTGATCTAAGAAATAATCAGTAATGTCATTTTCCACAGCCTTTCACCCTACCTCATCCCTTTTGGTCACATCAGTTTGAACACAGATGCCAACTCCACCATTTGCCCTGATGTTGTTCTCCACTTCCTGTAACCGGTCAACCCGCCGTGCTGCCATGGAGACCTTTGCCCCTGCTCCTGCTAGAGCCTTAGCGATGGCCTTGCCAATACCACTGGAGGCCCCTGTTACTATGGCAACTTTACCATCAAGTGGTCCTGGGTCTGTATCAAACGAACAAAGCTGTAATTTTGACATTATTATTAGATACACAATGTGAGATGTGCCTCACGTTTTGTGCACCAACAAATGTAAGCACCATGATGCATACGTATGAACGATGAGCGATAACAATAAAAATAATGATCTTGGTTGGTGTAAATGACTAACAATAAGTACAAATTTGTTATTAAACCTATATATACCAGATTTTTAAGAATGTTACCATAATTTAGCTTTATGTATACATACAGTATAAGTTTTTCTTTCAACCTATATTTGTTAAGAAACTCTGTTTTCAGGGTGTGAAAAACGACCCAAATCAACACAGTCAACCCATATACGTCTACTACAGGTAAACAAAATGACCTAGCACATGTAATACCTGGTCTGTAGTTCTTGTCGGGGAGACACTTAATTGCACTTACATAACTTGCCGAGGTTGAAAATCCAGATGAAGAGAAGCTATAGACCAACAAAAACCAAATTCACTAAAATTAAACATCCAGTCGTGTTTTCACAACAGTTGTACGGTATTGATCATTGGCCCCTTTAATTCTTGACTGTTGTACAGTCTTTAATATTATCAGTAATCTATGGGTTAGGAGGGGTCTATGAGCCCGTAGACCTCTCCTAACCCAGAGAAAACGAATTTGTCACCCTGATAAACTTTTATTACTTTTTTTCTTTCTGCATAGTTATAAGTCACTTCGTGAGTTTGAGTTGTACTTGACTGCTACCAAAATAGCCCCTAACGGACACTTTTTCGGCAATATTTTGGACAATACACAACCATCTTTGTAATTAGCACAATAGCGGCCCCCTCATTGCCTGTTTTGTTGAATTTGCTGTCAATTAAATAGGCTATTTCATACTGTGAATAATTGGCACACCTCGAGCGCTTGTGTGTGTGTCAGACGCCACCTTTGTTGTTATGAAGGGAGATTCTAGTTTGAGTTATCGATCTCCCCTCGCACATGCTTTTATAGACTCCGGCAGAGCGGGGTCTATAGAAATATAGATCCCGGCAAGATATCCAATCAGAAAGAGTGTTAGAAGGTGACAATGTGTAATGTGCAATATTTGCAATGCACTTTAAATTTTACGTCTGGTCAGAAATCAGATATTTATATAGTTCTTATATATAAAAAACAAATGACAGGAGTTTATTAGATCCCTAAGCACTTTCATCGCTTTAGAGGTATATTATCTTTACACTTTTATTTAACTTAGTCCTTCGTATTTTTTTTAAACTCCTTTATATTGAGCAACCAATTGTACCAAATCACTCATTTGTGTGGATTAACACATAACCAGGTAAACAATTATTAAAATCGCATTGTTGCGCACCATGTATGGATGATGTGCTGTAAACGGTGTATAACACATGGTGCATGCAGTACTATGTGCGAACTATGAGTGCACACTTCTTTAAGTATGTTTTTGGGTCACACAACTGCTTAGTTATGTCACTTTTATTAAAATATCATAAGATAGGATTTCATTAAAACATAAGATTTATATTTTGAGATAATGATTAGGTATTAAGTTAATATATGTCTATTTTTACAATGAAACTCATATAGGCATCTGTATGTATGTTTTTAAGTATTACTGAAAGTATACTATGGTTGAAATAAAATCGACTACTGCATTTTATTGTTTGCATAGTAGATCTGCTATTCTATTATACATTTGATTTTGAACATATAGTATCATGCAAGTTACCTTTTGAGACAACCCCTTAACATAACCACATGTTTTTGGTTTCAGTGTTTTTTTTACATATTATTGTAGTAAATATATAGCTTATGTAATAATTGTAAACATTGTCCCATCAATTTATAGTTTTACCTGCTGACATTGCTGAGCCTTAAGTGTGTGGTTTGCAGAGTAAACAAGCCAACCAGAATAGCTAGAAGGACCAGAATGGAAATAGGGGGTACACAAACTAGAGTTATCTCCCTTCATCCACTTAAAAATCTTATTGATTTCTGCTGGTTTGAATTTTCAGGGTAGATAACTCCGAAATAACAGTATAGAATTGTGACTAATTTTTGTTTGTTTTTATATTATGATAAATGCATCAATATCATTTTAAGGTTTATATCAACATATTATCACTGCATTAATTTGTATGTCTATCTCTAAATATTCAAATAACATTAAGAGTAATTTAGTTTTAAACTTTTTGTTAAAAACATCATAAAAATAGCACCTGGCATGGATTTATACATGTGCATGAATATATGCATGACAAAAAGTTGACATATAATTGTTTTATCAAGTTAATTTCAATCAATCTTTTAATCACAGTGGAATATTAAAGGTCATATAAAGAAAAAATATATCAGAAATATTTGATTTGTAAGTATCATACATAACAATCTTTGGCGGCATCACCTTTCTTTACTGTTCCCTTTCCTGCTGAGATGATCCCTCGCTGGCTAAGCTGTGAGAAGTAGGTTTTGAGAAGGTCCCCATCAGTTGCTGGGTATTTGATATTTAGCTGTGACAAAGCCTGATCTAGATTGTCTGTACGATAGGTACTCAGCTTGCTGAAGAAACTTTCATCCCTATGTAACAACAATAAATGTCTATATTAACCCTGATCAATGCAGACACCTGTTATTATAGTTGTGTGTTTATGTAAGATTTGCCAACCTAATGTAAAAATGTTGTTGTCACTCATCTTAAGGAGCACAGGTGTCTACAGCCTGACACAGGAGTGTAGAATATTATCATATACCTGACACAGGAGTAAAGATATCACTTATCTGGTATAAGAGTGTAGATATCACCTATCTGGTATAAGATTGTAGATATCACCTACCTTATAAAGGAGTGTAGATATCACCTACCTTATATAGGAGTGGAGGTATCACCTACCTTATATTGGAGTGGAGGTATCACCTACCTTATAAAGGAGTGTAGATATCACCTACCTGATATAAGAGTGGAGGTATCACCTACCTGATGTAAGTGTGTAGGTATCACCTACCTGATATAGGAGTGTAGGTATCACCTATCTGATGTAAGAGTGTAGGTATCACCTATCTGATGTAAGAGTATAGGTATCACCTATCTGATATAAGAGTGTAGGTATCACCTACCTGATATAGGAGTGAAGGTATCACCTATCTGTTATAAGTGTGTAGATATCACCTATCTGATACAGGAGTGTAGTTATTACCTATCTGATATAAGAGTGTAGATATCACCTATCTGATGTAAGAGTGAAGGTATCACCTATCTGTTATAAGTGTGTAGATATCACCTATCTGATACAGGAGTGTAGGTATCACCTTTCTGTTATAGGAGTGTAGATATCACCTATCAGATATAGGAGTGTAGGTGTCTGATACAGGAGTGTAGGTGTCACTTACCTGGTATAGGAGTGTAGATATCACCTATCTGATAAAGGAGTGTAGGTGTCTGATACAGAAGGGTAGGTATCACCTACCTGATATAGGAGAGTAGGTATCACCTATCTGATATATGAGTGTAGTTATCACTTACCTGATATAGGAGTTTTATAAGTACTCACCTTTCTGATATAAGAGTGTAGGTGTCACCTACCTGATATAAGAGTGTAGTTATCACCTATCTGATAGGTGTCTGATACAGAAGTGTAGGTGTCACTTACCTGGGATAGGAGTGTAGATATCACCTATCTGATACAGGAGCGTAGGTATCACCTTTCTGTTATAGGCGTGTAGATATCACCTATCAGATATAGGAGTGTAGGTGTCGGATACAGGAGTGTAGGTGTCACTTACCTGGTATAGGAGAGTAGATATCACCTATCTGATACAGGAGGGTAGGTGTCTGATACAGAAGTGTAGGTATCACCTACCTGATATAGGAGAGTAGGTATCACCTATCTGATATATGAGTATTGGTATCACCTATCTGATATAGGAGTGTAGTTATCACTTACCTGATATAGGAGTTTTATAAGTAATCACCTTTCTGATATAAGAGTGTAGGTGTCACCTACCTGATATAAGAGTGTAGTTATCACCTATCTGATATAGGAATGTAGATATCACCTATCTGATATAGGAGTGTAGGTGTCTGATACAGAAGTGTAGGTATCACCTACCTGATATAGGAGTGTAGTTATCAACTACCTCATATAGGAGTGTAGTTATCACCTACCTAATATAGGAGTGTAGTTATCACCTACCTGATATATGAGTATTGGTATCACCTGTCCGATATAGGAGTGTAGTTATCACCTACCTGATATAAGAGTGTAGTTATCACCTATCTGATATAAGAGTGTAGTTATCACCTTCCTGATATATGAGTATTGGTGTCACCTATCTGATATAGGTCATAGATACATAATGTGCACGAGTGATATATCCGATACGTCACGAGTGCCAATTATGTATCTGTTTTATCCAATGACCGCCGAGGTTTTTGTAACCCACGCGTCAAGGGGCGGAGCTATACAGCTGATCAGGATCTATCAAGTAATCATTTTGATATTTTCCCGCCACTTTCTGACCCACCCATTTCCTGCCACAGTATTCATTTCTGTCTCAGGTGTTAATGATGGCGGATCAGGCATGGCATGACGTCCCCGGAGTTTATATGATATTTACACAGAGTATCTACAGACTGTTGGAGAGGGTCCATTTTACATGAGACCCCTTGCCGGTGGGAAATTTGGAACACAGCCGATTGGAGTAAATAAACTGAATGCAATTGTGAAAAACAACGGAAAGAGAACATGCACCACATCTCTTCACCAAGCCGGTAAGTCTGAAATTAAAGTGTGTCTAAACATAATTGTGAATCGCGAAAATATTAGCGTGTGTATATGTTTTTCATAATCTGTAAAATAGAATACATATTCTTTTTCGTGATTTTTTTTAATTTGACTTGAATGTTTTACGCATTGACATTAACCTAAACGTAACACGATAAAAATGTCCATTCATTTTCTACTTTCATTAGGTTTTGATGAACAGTTGATTATGGAAAGGACTGGACATCGCAGTATCGCTGTCCGTGCCTACAAGAGACCGTCCGAGGCGCAACAGGTGGAAATAAGCCGGGCATGAGAGTGTGGGAAAAGTGCGATCAAGAAGGTCAAGACCGAAACACAAGAAAACAAAAAAAGTGTAACGTAGCGTGAAAAATATAATACCAACACATTATTGGTGCTTGATAGAGAAATACTGTTTTTTACACTTACGGTGTCTAAATTTAATTAAATTTGTTTGCAATGTTTTTCGTGTCTTTGTTGATTTGTCACGCCCACTTTAAAATGGGCACCGCCTCCAGACTGTGGCATGGACCAATCAGAAAAGCCATGTGATATTTCAGATATCACATATGTGATATCTGAAATATCACACGGTATGCAATATATCGTCAAGAAAAGATCAAAGAAAAACTAAGGCGTCATTGGATAAGAGTGTAGGTATCACCTACCTTATATAGGAGTGTAGTTATCACCTATCTGATAAAGGAGTGTAGTTATCACCTATCTGATATAGGAGTGTAGATATCATCTATATGATACAGGAGTGTAGGTGTGACCTACCTTATATATGAGTGTAGATATCACCTACCTGATATAGGAGTGTAGGTGTCACCTATCTGATATAGGAGTGTAGTAGTCACCTACCTGATATAGGAGTGTAGTAGTCACCTACCTGATATAGGTGTGTAGGTGTCAGCCATCTGATATAAGAGTGTAGGTACCACCTACCTGGCATAAGAGTGTGATTTTATCTACCTGATATAGGAGTGTAGATATCACCTATCTGATATCAGAGTGTAGGTATCACCTACCTGATATAGGAGTGTAGGTGTCACCTATCTGATATAGGAGTGTAGATATCACCTACCTGATATAGGAGTGTAGATATCACCTATCTTATATAGTAGTGTAGATATCACCTATCTTATATAGGAGTTTAGTTATCACCTATCTGATATAGGAGTGTAGTAGTCACCTACCTGTTATAGGAGTGTAGGTGTCAGCCATCTTATATAGGAGCGTAGGTGTCACCTACGTGATATAGGAGTATCATTGCCACTAACCTGATGTAAGTATCCAATAGTCGCTGTAGATCTGTCACGCCATCAAGCTCTGTGCCTTGTAGAACCCTATGTACAAACCATAAGGGATTATAGATACTTAAATGGAAGTTTCAGTCTCCACATCAAAACAAAACTGTATTGGGTGGACTACCAATGAACATCTAGAGTTGATAGGGTCCCAGTCCAAACACCAGTCTGTCGTGCTGCATACTTCAATCACTGTTACAATGTGGGTATGGCTAAGTCTTAGTATAATTTGTGTGTATACTGATTTGACAAAGTAATGCTTGGGGGTAATTGTTTGAACATAAGAAAACAATGAAGCTGATCAGAACGGGCTCAATTTTCAAAATGACCAGACAGCTCAGTTGTTAGAATTGTTAGAGTTTGGAGTTTCCAGAATTGATACCGGTCTGGCCATTAACAAACTTAAAACTGATGTGACATTTTTAAGGTAAGTGATTGATTCGTTATGATATCACCTGTTTTTGTAGCTTTAGGGATACTCAGTAACCAGTGTATTGAAATCACACTATACCTTTTTCTCCATTCAGTGAACTTGACAACCTCCACAGAGAAACCATTGGCATTCATCCACTTATACAGCCACCTTTGTGAAGATACAGAAGTTAGAGCTCATAGATCAGAATGTCAAGGTCACACACACAGATATAAAGGTCAGTATAAAATCTGATATAGGGATATAAATATTATAGATCACCATGTATGTAAGCTTTATACATCTATTTTATAACAATTATGAAAAAAGTTTTTTCAATGTATATTAATCATTCTTGTTTGCCTGGATAGAAGAACATAGAGAGTCTAAATCAGCGAGGAAACTGGAGCACCTGGAGAAAGCCATGTAGTAAGGCTGGTGACCCAATGCATTTTCATGCCCAATCTGGAAACAGTGGTAGGTCTGCCTTGAGTGCATTGAAGTGAAAGGTTAGCCTCACCTGCAGTGTATAGGTTTGGAGTTGAGTACATGGTAGACCTTCCCAAAAGCAGTTGATAAGTTGTGTGCCATTTTGATGAGGAACTCTGCTGCAAAGTCAACAGGTGTCATCTCCACCAGCCACTCAACATCTGGTGCCACGCCCAGCCTGGTGATGGCCTGGAGCATCAGCAGGGTTAGATCCTGGGGATTCCAGTATGCCTTTGTCATGTCACCTGACATGTTGCCTGGCAACATTTACAAAAATTCATTTTAATACACTCTTAAACGTCTGTGGCTTATTTAAGAATTAATGCAATAAAGCTAAAAAGCAGACATTTAGATGATCACATGGATGCCTCATTGACTGGTCACTTCTTCCTTAACCTGTAGATAAACAAAGGGTGCTATATTGACAACTTGCTACTCACAAAAATGTAGATGACCAAAGGGTACTTTATCATGACAGGTCACTACTTACCTAACCTGTAGATGACCACAGGTATGCCTTTCTGACCGGCCACTACTTACCTAACCTGTTGATGACCACAGGGATGCCTCTTCGACAAGCCACTACTTACCTATTCTGTAGATGACCACAGGGATGCCTCTCTGACCGGCCACTACTTACCTAACCTGTAGATGACCACAGGGATGCCACTCAGACTGCCACTACTTACCTAGCCTGTAGATGACCACAGGGATGCCTCTCTGACCGGCCACTACTTACCTAACCTGTAGAAGACCACAGGGATGCCCCTCTGACTGCCACTATTTACCTAACCTGTAGATGACCACAGGGATGCCCCTCTGACTGCCACTACTTACCTAGTCTGTAGATGACCACAGGGATGCCTCTCTGACCGGCCACTACTTACCTAACCTGTAGAAGACCACAGGGATGCCACTCAGACTGCCACTACTTACCTAGTCTGTAGAAGACCACAGGGATGCCACTCTGACTGCCACTATTTACCTAACCTGTAGATGACCACAGGGATGCCACTCTGACTGCCACTACTTACCTAGCCTGTAGATGACCACAGGGATGCCACTCTGACTGCCACTACTTACCTAACCTGTAGATGACCACAGGGATGCCTCTCTGAACGGCCACTACTTACCTAACCTGTAGATGACCACAGGGATCCCTCTCTGATCAGCCCTAGATATCAGTTGTTCTGCCACCCACTTTGACTGTGAGTAGCCGTCTGTCAGCTGGTCCGCAAGCGGTGTGATGTCATCATTTTCTCCACAGTCTAGTCGGCCATTAGGAAACACAGCATCAGTACTGTGTGTGATAATATACAGTACATAAAGTTCTATACCAGTCTGGTATGGCAACATACCACACAAACATACAGTTTAGTCCAATTAAACTCTTTTTTCCCATTCACAGTTCAACATATTCAGAGAATACATACATACATATAAGTTTACAAAGAAATAACCGAATCTTAAGTAAGTTTAAGAGACCTACCTGACATAGTGGAATGGTTTAATTTTCCCTGTGCAGGCAAACAACACCATGTTAGCTGTTCCATTAACGTTAGCACCCTGTAGAGCCTAGAAAACAACAACATACAATGGTAACATTATCAATTAAATAATTTGATATCAATAAAAATGTATATCCAATATATGACTGCAATTATAATGTATTCAATGTTTGTACACATGTTGTCATGGTGACATCTACTTACACTATAAGGGTACACAAGTAATCAATATCTGAGTATGATGTCATGGTGACATTACTTACACTATAAGGGTACACAAGTAATCAATCTCTAAGTATGTTGTCATGGTGACATTACTTACACTATAAGGGTACACAAGTAATCAATATCTGAATACGTTGTCATGGTGACATTACTTACACTATAAGGGTACACAAGGTTGACATATGCTGCAGCGTGTATGATGTAATCAATCTCTGTACACAGATATGTGTAGTCATCCTCATTCATGCCAAGCTTGACCAAAGCCACATCTCCCTTCATGGCATGAACATGTGAACTGAACTGCTTTGCTAGAAATGCCTGCTCCTCTGTTGGGGTGTCTGAACCAGCCAAAATTCCGAACTGTTTCAATGTTGCTTCCACCCGTTCAGTGGGACTCTTGTCAGGGAGCTCCCTCACCACACAGTAAACTGTACTCTGTCAGAGGCATACAACAATCAACTTCGAAACATAACAATGTAAGATTAGAACTAAATGTAAAAACATAAGTCATTTAGATCCTATTAACAGCAATATCTAACTAATCTTTGTAGATTTTTCTAATTAACACAGCTCCTATCTGGAGAAGGGTTCAGGATATCAATAGCTAGGTGATACATAGCTGTACACTTCAGTACTATAGTCATGTAGACTTTTATATACCTGTAATGAACTGTCTCTGAGGATGGCGACTCTCAGAAAACCTGCTGTTCCTTATCTGGGCAGTGAAAATAACTCTATAAGGAGGAAGGCCCCCAGAAAACTTGCTGTTCTCCACTTGGGTTGGTAGAAGTAACACCCAGACATCCAGCTGTTCCTTATCTAGGTTGTGAAAAGTAACTCTTTGAGGAAGAAAAACCCAAGAAAACCTGCTGTCTTTACCTAGGTTGTGAGAAGTAACTCTCTGAAAAGGAAAACCCTGAGAAAACCAGGGCCTGTATTCATGAAATCATTCTCATGCTCAAGCAGGGATTTTTTGCCCAAGTCCAATTTCTTCAAATTATTTTTGTCAAAGATTTGGAGAATTTTTTTTGAAGAGACTTGGAGCCAAATTCTGTTTTCAATGTTTACAATCGACGTTTTGATTGTTTGACATGATTTTAAACAAGAAAACTGGTTTGAGTACAGATTTCATACTTGAGCATGAGAATGGTTTCATGAATACGGGCCCAGCTGTTCCTTACCTGGGTTGTGAGAAGTAACTCTCTGAGGAGGAAAGTGTTCCTTACCTGGGTTGTGAGAAGTAACTTTTTGAGAAGGAAAGCGCTCCTTACCTGGGTTGTGAGAAGTAACTCTCTGATAAGGAAAACTCCCAGAAAACAGCAGTCCTTACCTGGGTTGTGAGAAGTAACTCTCTGAGGAGGAAAGCGTTCCTTACCTGGGTTGTGAGAAGTAACTCTCTGAGGAGGAAAGTGTTCCTTACCTGGGTTGTGAGAAGTAACTTTCGGAGAAGGAAAGCGCTCCTTACCTGGGTTGTGAGAAGTAACTCTCTGAGAAGGAAAGCGTTACTTACCTGGGTTGTGAGAAGTAACTCTCTGAGGAGGTAAGGAACGCTTTCCTTCTCACACCCCAGGTAAGTAACGCTTTCCTTCTCAGGGAGTTACTTATCACAATCCAGGTAAGGAACAGTTGTTTTCTGGGAGTTTTCCTCCTCAGAGAGCTACTTCTCACACCCCAGGAAAGGAACGCTTTCCTTCTCGGAGAGTTACTTCTCAAACCCCAGGTAAGGAACACTTTCCTCCTCGGAGAGTTACTTCTCAAACCCCAGGTAAGGAACACTTTCCTCCTCGGAGAGTTACTTCTCACAAGCCAGGTAAGCAACGCTTTCCTCCTCAGAGAGATACTTCTCACACCCCAGCTACGGAACGCTTTCCTCCTCAAAGAGTTACTTCTCACAAGCCAGGTAAGCAACGCTTTCCTCCTCAGAGAGATACTTCTCACAACCCAGGTAAGGAGCGCTTACCTGGGTTGTGAGGAGTAACTCTCTGAGGAGGTAAGGAACGCTTTCCTCCTCAGAGCGTTACTTCTCACACCCCAGCTACGGAACGCTTTCCTCCTCAGAGAGATACTTCTCACAACCCAGGAAAGGAACACTTTGCTCCTCAGAGAGTTACTCCTCACAACCCAGGTAAGTAGCGCTTTCCTTCTCCGAAAGTTACTTCTCACAACCCAGGTAAGCGCTCCTTACCTGGGGTGTGAGAAGTAACTCTCTGAGAAGGACAGCGCTCCTTACCTGGGGTGTGAGAAGTAACTCTCTGAGGAGGAAAGCGTTCCTTACCTGGGTTGTGAGAAGTAACTCTCTGAGGAGGAAAGAAGTCCTTACCTGGGGTGTGAGAAGGAAAGCGTTCCTTACCTGGGGTGTGAGAAGGAAAGCGTTCACTACCTGGGGTGTGAGAAGTAACTCTCTGAGGAGGAAACCGTTCCTTACCTGGGTTGTGAGAAGTAACCCCCTGAGGAGGAAAGTGCTCCTTACCTGGGGTGTGAGAAGGAAAGCGTTCCTTACCTGGGGTGTGAGAAGGAAAGCGTTCCTTACCTGGGGTGTGAGAAGGAAAGCGTTCCTTACCTGGGGTGTGAGAAGTAACTCTCTGAGAAGGAAAGCGTTCCTTACCTGGGTTGTGAGAAGTAACTCTCTGAGGAGGAAAACTCTCAGAAAACAGCTGTTCCTTACCTTGGTTTTGAGAAGTAACTCTCTGAGAAGGAAAGCGATTCTTACCTGGGTTGTGAGAAGTAACTCTCTGAGCAGGAAAACTCCCAGGAAACAGCTGTTCCTTACCTGGGATGTGAGAAGTAGCTCTCTAAGAAGGAAAGCGTTCCTTACCTGATTTGTGAGAAGTAACTTTCTGAGGAGGAAAACTCCCAGAAAACAGCTGTTCCCTACCTGGGTTGTGTGAAGTTACTCTCTGAGGAGGAAAACTCCCAGAAAACAGCTGTTCCTTACCTGGGTTGTGAGAAGTAACTCTCCGAGGAGGAAAACTCCCAGAAAACAGCTGTTCGCTACCTGGGTTGTGTGAAGTTACTCTCTGAGGAGGAAAACTCCCAGAAAACAGCTGTTCGCTACCTGGGTTGTGTGAAGTTACTCTCTGAGGAGGAAAACTCCCAGAAAACAACTGTTCCTTACCTGGGTTGTGATAAGTAACTCCCTGAGAAGGAAAGCGTTCCTTACCTGGGGTGTGAGAAGTAACTCTCCGAGAAGGAAAGCGTTCCTTACCTGGGTTGTGAGAAGTAACTATCTGAGGAGGAAAACTCCCAGAAAACAACTGTTCCTTACCTGGGTTGTGATAAGTAACTCCCTGAGAAGGAAAGCGTTCCTTACCTGGGTTGTGAGAAGTAACTCTCTGAGAAGGAAAGCGCTCCTTACCCGGGTTGTGAGAAGTAACTCTCTGAGGAGGAAAGCGCTCCTTACCTGGGTTGTGAGAAGTAACTCTCTGAGGAGGAAGGCACCAAGGAAACCTGTTGTTCCCGTCAGAAGGACCCTGGCTTTCTTGAACTTGCTCTCATTAAGTAGGTTAAAACTTCTCCAGAATGCTCTCAGATTCATGTCAATACTGCACAGGAATACAAAACGTCATTGTCATATAATGATACAAGTACAAATATAGGTTTAGGTCAATACAGGGTTGTCAAAGTCCAGACTCATGATAATTATGAAAACCTACTTCATAGTGAAAATTTCTGGCAGTTATAATATTTTTTAGCTTTGAATACTTGGGTATTTAAAACAGGACAATCTGTCATAACCCTGTTTTTTAAATGGCACCTTATATGGTAAATACTGGTTTATTTGCTTTCTTATAGGTAAAATAATTCACAGTCAATGTTGGATGGAACCTTGTCTTTTTTATTTAAAAAAAAATGAGACATGGAGTATTCTCATATTGCTGTTGTATATAGATCAAAAACCAATAGACAGATGTCATTTTATTAGAAAATATGATCAGGTATAAAAAGTTACCTGCATGGTATCATAAAATACCTGGTATCATTAAAAACAGCTGACTACATCTACTCTCAACCATGTACATGTAACAGTCTAGATTTGGACCTGCAAAGTCGTCAAATAAAATAAAAGCTTCACTAAATGCTCCTGATATGCAGTATGTCTATTATTGTACTCTTATGATCCAGGTACACTTACTCAACCTTAGCCATATCATGACGAGCCACTTCAGCTTTAAGGTCAAAGGTCACTTTTGGAACGATGATATCCACCTCAGAATTTTCCTTCTTTGCCTCAATCAACTGACAGATGCTGGCTATGGTGGGGTGAATGAAGAGGTCGCGGACAGTGATGTTCACCTGGTACTTGTCTCGTAGGTTGCCTAGTAACTGTGTGGCCAGTAGGGAGTGGCTGTAGAAAAAACAAACCATATAAACACTTTCTTCATATCATTTCCTCGAAGGACAATGTTCCCACATCACTCTCTGTACCAATATGTTCCGTCGTTTCCTCAACACTCATTATTCCTCCTTGTCACTCCTCCCTTTCTTTCCCACACCATCTCTCTCTCTTTTCTACATCATATCTGTCTATCATTACACTCAGTATCATACCTCACCATACAACTGTCTTCTTCCGACATCACACTTTCCTCCAGACATATCATTTAAACACCATCATCAACTTAAAGCATCATTCTTTCCATATACAACCCTCTACTTTTCAAATCACTGTCCATTTAATAAACCACACATCATCCCTCTCTTTCCCATGTCATCTTCATTTTGTGTAATTCACTCTCCTCCCAACATCAAAGCCTATCCCACATAACTCCCTGGCCCCTCCCTTCATATATATATGTCCTTACACATTTCCATATATCTCCCTCCTTTCCATGTCCCTGGATACTTCCTTCATATGACCCTATACACTCCCACATATCTCTCTCCTTCCCATCTCTCTGTCCCTCCCTTTATATGTCCTTACACACTCCCACATGTCTCCCTCCTACCCAACTCTCTGTCCCTCCCTTCATATGTCCTTACACACTCCCACATGTCTCCCTCCTACCCAACTCTCTGTCCCTCCCTTCATATGACCCTATACACTCCCACATGTCTCCCTCCTACCCAACTCTCTGTCCCTCCCTTAATATGTCCTTACACATTCCCACATGTCTCCCTCATACCCAACTCTCTGTCCCTCCCTTTATATGTTCTTATCCCTCCCTTTATACGTCCTTACACATGTCTCCCTCCTACCCAAATCTCTGTCCCTCCCTTTATATGTCCTTACACACTCCCACATGTCTCCCTCCTACCCAACTCTCCGTCCCTCCTTTTATATGTCCTTTCACATTCCAACATGTTTCCCTCCTACCCAACTCTCTGTCCCTCCCCTCATATGTCCTTACACATTCCCACATGTCTCCCTCCCACCCAACTCTCTGTCCCTCCCTTCATATGACCTTACACATTCCCACATGTCTCCCTCCTACCCAACTCTCCGTCCCTCCTTTTATATGTCCTTTCACATTCCAACATGTTTCCCTCCTACCCAACTCTCTGTCCCTCCCCTCATATGTCCTTACACATTCCCACATGTCTCCCTCCCACCCAACTCTCTGTCCCTCCCTTCATATGTCCTTACACATTCCCACATGTCTCCCTCCCACCCAACTCTCTGTCCCTCCCTTTATATGTACTTTCACATTCCAACATGTTTCCCTCCTACCCAACTCTCTGTCCCTCCCTTTATATGTCCTTACACATTCCCACATGTCTCCCTCCTACCCAACTCTCTGTCCTTCCCTTTTTATGTCCTTACACATTCCAACATGTTTCCCTCCTACCCAACTCTCTATCCTTCCTTTTATATGTCCTTAAACATTCCCACATGTCTCCCTCCTACCCAACTCTCTGTCCCTCCCTTTTTATGTCCTTACACATTCCCCCATGTCTCCCTCCTACCCAACTCTCTGTCCCTCCCTTTATATGTCCTTGCTCATTCCCACATGTCTCCCTCCTACCCATCTCCCTTTCCTCCCTTCATATGTCCTTACACATTCCCACATGTCTCCCTCCTACCCAACTCTCCGTCCCTCCTTTTATATGTCCTTTCACATTCCAACATGTTTCCCTCCTACCCAACTCTCTGTCCCTCCCTTTTTATGTCCTTACACATGTCTCCCTCCTACCCAACTCTCTGTCCCTCCATTTATATGTCCTTAAACATTCCCACATGTCTCCCTCCTACCCAACTCTCTGTCCCTCCATTTATATGTCCTTAAACATTCCCACATGTCTCCCTCCTACCCAACTCTCCGTCCCTCCTTTTATATGTCATTTCACATTCCAACATGTTTCCCTCCTACCCAACTCTCTGTCCCTCCCTTTTTATGTCCTTACACATTCCCACATGTCTTTCTCTACCCATCTCCCTTTCCTCCCTTCATATGTCCTTACAATTCCCACATGTCGCCCTCCTACCCATCTCTCTGTCCCTCCCTTCAGATGTCCTTACACATTCCCACATGTCTCCCTCTTACCCAGCCCTCTGTCCCTCCCTTTATATGTCCTCCACATTCCCACATGTCTCCCTCCTACCCAACTCTCTGTCCCTCCATTTATATGTCCTTAAACATTCCCCCATGTCTCCCTCCTACCCAACTCTCTGTCCCTCCCTCCTTACACATTCCCACATGTCTCCCTCCTACCCCTTTTATATGTCCTTTCACATTCCAACATGTTTCCCTCCTCCCCAACTCTCTGTCCCTCCCTTTATATGTCCTTACACATTTCCACATGTCTCCCTCCTACCCAACTCTCTGTCCCTCCATTTATATGTCCTTAAACATTCCCACATGTCTCCCTCCTACCCAACTCTCTGTCCCTCCCTATATATGTCCTTACACATTCCCACATGTCTCCTTCATACCCAACTCTCTGTCCCTCCCTTTTTATGTCCTTACACATTCCCCCATGTCTCCCTCCTACCCACCTCTCTGTCCCTCCCTTTATATGTCCTTACACATTCCCACATGGCTCCCTCCTACCCAACTCTCCGTCCCTCCTTTTATTTGTCCTTTCACATTCCAACATGTTTCCCTCCTACCCAACTCTCTGTCCCTCCCTTCATATGTCCCCCTCCTACCCAACTCTCTGTCCCTCCATTTATATGTCCTTAAACATTCCCCCATGTCTCCCTCCTACCCAACTCTCCGTCCCTCCTTTTATTTGTCCTTTCACATTCCAACATGTTTCCCTCCTACCCAACTCTCTGTCCCTCCCTTCATATGTCCCCCTCCTACCCAACTCTCTGTCCCTCCATTTATATGTCCTTACACATTCCCACATGTCTCCTTCATACCCAACTCTCTGTCCCTCCCTTTTTATGCCCTTACACATTCCCCCATGTCTCCCTCCTACCCAACTCTCTGTCCCTCCCTCCTTACACATTCCCACATGTCTCCCTCCTACCCCTTTTATATGTCCTTTCACATTCCAACATGTTTCCCTCCTACCCAACTCTCTGTCCCTCCCTTCATATGTCCCCCTCCTACCCAACTCTCTGTCCCTCCCTTTTTATGTCCTTACACATTCCCACATGTCTTTCTCCTACCCATCTCCCTTTCCTCCCTTCATATGTCCTTACAATTCCCACATGTCTCCCTCCTACCCATCTCTCTGTCCCTCCCTTTATATGTCCTTACACATTCCCACATGTCTCCCTCTTACCCAACTCTCTGTCCCTCCCTTTTTATGTCCTTACACATTCCCACATGTCTTTCTCCTACCCATCTCCCTTTCCTCCCTTCATATGTCCTTACAATTCCCACATGTCTCCCTCCTACCCATCTCTCTGTCCCTCCCTTCAGATGTCCTTACACATTCCCACATGTCTCCCTCCTCCCCAACTCTCTGTCCCTCCCTTCATATGTCCTTCCACATTCCCACATGTCTCCTTCCTACCCAACTCTCTGTCCCTCCCTTCATATGTCCTTACACATTCCCACATGTCTCCCTCCTACCCAACTCTCTGTCCCTCCCTTTATATGTTCTTACACATTACCACATGTCTCCCTCCTACCCAACTCTCTGTCCCTCCCTTTATATGTCCTTACACATTCCCACATGTCTCCCTCCTACCCAACTCTCTGTCCCTCCCTTTATATGTCCTTACACATTCCCACATGTCTCCCTCCTACCCAACTCTCTGTCCCTCCCTTTATATGTCCTTACACATTCCCACATGTCTCCCTCCTACCCAACTCTCTGTCCCTCCCTTTATATGTCCTTACACATTCCCACATGTCTCCCTCCTACCCAACTCTCTGTCCCTCCCTTTATATGTCCTTACACATTCCCACATGTCTCCCTCCTACCCAACTCTCTGTCCCTCCCTTTATATGTCCTTACACATTCCCACATGTCTCCCTCCTACCCAACTCTCTGTCCCTCCCTTTATATGTCCTTACACATTCCCACATGTCTCCCTCCTACCCAACTCTCTGTCCCTCCCTTTATATGTCCTTACACATTCCCACATGTCTCCCTCCTACCCAACTCTCTGTCCCTCCCTTTATATGTCCTTACACATTCCCACATGTCTCCCTCCTACCCAACTCTCTGTCCCTCCCTTTATATGTCCTTACACATTCCCACATGTCTCCCTCCTACCCAACTCTCTGTCCCTCCCTTTATATGTCCTTACACATTCCCACATGTCTCCCTCCTACCCAACTCTCTGTCCCTCCCTTTATATGTCCTTACACATTCCCACATGTCTCCCTCCTACCCAACTCTCTGTCCCTCCCTTTATATGTCCTTACACATTCCCACATGTCTCCCTCCTACCCAACTCTCTGTCCCTCCCTTTATATGTCCTTACACATTCCCACATGTCTCCCTCCTACCCAACTCTCTGTCCCTCCCTTTATATGTCCTTACACATTCCCACATGTCTCCCTCCTACCCAACTCTCTGTCCCTCCCTTTATATGTCCTTACACATTCCCACATGTCTCCCTCCTACCCAACTCTCTGTCCCTCCCTTTATATGTCCTTACACATTCCCACATGTCTCCCTCCTACCCAACTCTCTGTCCCTCCCTTTATATGTCCTTACACATTCCCACATGTCTCCCTCCTACCCAACTCTCTGTCCCTCCCTTTATATGTCCTTACACATCCCACATGTCTCCCTCCTACCCAACTCTCTGTCCCTCCCTTTATATGTCCTTACACATTCCCACATGTCTCCCTCCTACCCAACTCTCTGTCCCTCCCTTTATATGTCCTTACACATTCCCACATGTCTCCCTCCTACCCAACTCTCTGTCCCTCCCTTTATATGTCCTTACACATTCCCACATGTCTCCCTCCTACCCAACTCTCTGTCCCTCCCTTTATATGTCCTTACACATTCCCACATGTCTCCCTCCTACCCAACTCTCTGTCCCTCCCTTTATATGTCCTTACACATTCCCACATGTCTCCCTCCTACCCAACTCTCTGTCCCTCCCTTTATATGTCCTTACACATTCCCACATGTCTCCCTCCTACCCAACTCTCTGTCCCTCCCTTTATATGTCCTTACACATTCCCACATGTCTCCCTCCTACCCAACTCTCTGTCCCTCCCTTTATATGTCCTTACACATTCCCACATGTCTCCCTCCTACCCAACTCTCTGTCCCTCCCTTTATATGTCCTTACACATTCCCACATGTCTCCCTCCTACCCAACTCTCTGTCCCTCCCTTTATATGTCCTTACACATTCCCACATGTCTCCCTCCTACCCAACTCTCTGTCCCTCCCTTTATATGTCCTTACACATTCCCACATGTCTCCCTCCTACCCAACTCTCTGTCCCTCCCTTTATATGTCCTTACACATTCCCACATGTCTCCCTCCTACCCAACTCTCTGTCCCTCCCTTTATATGTCCTTACACATTCCCACATGTCTCCCTCCTACCCAACTCTCTGTCCCTCCCTTCATATGTCCTTACACATTCCCACATGTCTCCCTCCTACCCAACTCTCTGTCCCTCCCTTCATATGTCCTTACACATTCCCACATGTCTCCCTCCTACCCAACTCTCTGTCCCTCCCTTCATATGTCCTTACACATTCCCACATGTCTCCCTCCTACCCATCTCCCTTTCTTCCCTTCATATGTCCTTACAATTCCCACATGTCTCCCTCCTACCCAACTCTCTGTCCCTCCCTTCATATGTCCTTACACATTCCCACATGTCTCCCTCCTACCCAACTCTCTGCCCCTCCCTTTATATGTCCTTTCACATTCCCTCATATCTCCCTCCTACCCAACTCTCTGTCCCTCCCTTTATATGTCCTTACACATTCCCACATGTCTCCCTCCTACCCATATCCATAGCCTCCCCTTCATATGGTCCTACTCACACAACTTACCCTCCTTGGTCAAAGAAGCTTTCCTGTATGTCCACATCCTTGATTTGTAGAACCTGTTTCCACATCTGAGCCACCTCTTTTTCAGTCTCTGTAGATGGTTGAGCCTCTTTGTCAATGTCACTCTCGCTTTCCTTGTCAAATGGAGGTAGAGCCTTCTTGTCCAATTTTCCTGTTGTTTCAACTATTGGGAGACTGTCAACAAAATATTTGTATATCTGTAAGAAATGGGATGTTGTTTGATTGCTATGCTTTCAAAAGTTTGAGGAAGGCATTTTATGTAGAAGTTTGTGGAAATTGATTGATAAGAGATTTTGAGAGCAGCATTTATTAAACGTAGAGGTCAAAGACTGAAAGCAACGTTTGATTTCAGCATTTGAGGGTAGTGTTTGATTACATAGTTTCAGGGCTCCATATGATTTCATTAGTGATATGTATCTGATCAGAAAGTTTACAGACAAAACTTGATTACAGGGTAGCATTTTATCAGTGACTCTGAGGGCAATATTTGAGCAGAAAGTTTGAGAGCAGCATTTAGAGTTAATGAGAAGCACAAACCTTGGTACGATGACAAAGTACGAAGGAATCATGTAGAAAGGGAGACTTAGTTTGAGGGCGGCACGTAGCGCTTTCTTTGATGTCTGACCCTCTGTAACAACATACGCAACCAGAAACTTGTTTTCTCCCTCATCTCCTTCTACCAGTATGACACAGGCAGTCACCACAGTCAACTCCAATATGGCTGTCTCCACTGCCTACAGTATATAACAAAGTTGATATCTACTGTCTGTACTGTACATAAGGTTGATATCTACAGCCAGTAGTTTATGTAAGTTTGATATTTATAGTCTACAGTGTATGTGAGGTTGATATCTATACTGTCCACAGATATCCAGACTGCCATCAGACTCTAATGTAGGACTTACCTGTACCTCTATAGAGTAGCCCCTGATTTTGACCATTGAGTCACAACGCCCACAAATCTCCAGACTACCATCAGACTTACCTGTACCTCTTTAGAGTAGCCCCTGATTTTGACCATTGAGTCACATCGTACACAGATCTCCAGACTACCATCAGACTTACCTGTACCTCTTTAGAGTAGCCCCTGATTTTGACCATTGAATCACATCGCCCACAGATCTCCAGACTACCATCAGACATACCTGTACATCTTTAGAGTAGCCCCTGATTTTGACCATTGAATCACATCGCCCACAGATCTCCAGACTACCATCAGACATACCTGTACATCTTTAGAGTAGCCCCTGATTTTGACCATTGAATCACATCGCCCACAGATCTCCAGACTACCATCAGACATACCTGTACATCTTTAGAGTAGCCCCTGATTTTGACCATTGAGTCACATCGCCACAGATCTCCAGACTACCATCAGGCTTACCTGTACCTCTATAGAGTAGCCCCTGATTTTGACCATTGAGTCACATCGTACACAGATCTCCAGACTACCATCAGACTTACCTGTACCTCTTTAGAGTAGCCCCTGATTTAGACCATTGAGTCACATCGTACACAGATCTCCAGACTACCATCAGACTTACCTGTACCTCTATAGAGTCAGACTCTAATGTAGGACTTACCTGTACCTCTATAGAGTAGCCCCTGATTTTGACCATTGAGTCACACACCCACAGATCTCCAGACTACCATCAGACTTACCTGTACCTCTATAGAGTCAGACTCTAATGTAGGACTTACCTGTACCTCTATATAGTAGCCCCTGATTTTGACCATTGAGTCACAACGCCCACAAATCTCCAGACTACCATCAGACTTACCTGTACCTCTTTAGAGTAGCCCCTGATTTTGACCATTGAGTCACATCGTACACAGATCTCCAGACTACCATCAGACTTACCTGTACCTCTATAGAGTAGCCCCTGATTTTGGCCATTGAGTCACATCGCCACAGATCTCCAGACTACCGTCAGACTTACCTGTACCTCTTTAGAGTAGCCCCTGATTTTGACCATTGAGTCACATCGTACACAGATCTCCAGACTACCATCAGACTTACCTGTACCTCTTTAGAGTAGCCCCTGATTTTGACCATTGAGTCACATCGCCACAGATCTCCAGACTACCATCAGGCTTACCAGTACCTCTATAGAGTAGCCCCTGATTTTGACCATTGAGTCACAACGCCCACATATCTCCAGACTACCATCAGACTTACCTGTACCTCTATAGAGTCAGACTCTAATGTAGGACTTACCTGTACCTCTATAGAGTAGCCCCTGATTTTGACCATTGAGTCACACCGCCCACAGATCTCCAGACTACCGTTAGACAGCATGTACCCCCAGTCCCCGGTACGGTACAACTTATCACCCATGCCCTTGGGCACTGCCCCAGGACGTTGAATAAATCGAACTGCCTGCTGCTCCGGCCGGTTTAGATATCCTCTGGCTAGAGTTGGACCTCCCACATAGATCTATGATAATACAATAGAACACAATTACTGGTCTATATACAGCTTAACTAGTATGTTCCACTTACTTAGACCTCATATCACAGGGTCTAATATCAAATGAAGTACATGTTCTTATTTCACTAGCCCAAGAATTCGTTTAAAGAAGTGTGATTATATTTTACTTTGAAACAAGAGACCCATGGGCATTCATAGTCACTTGAGTGAAACTATGAAAGGTATTATAGTTATATTGCTGAGTATAATCTAACTTCATATGGATAAAAGGTAAGTGGGGCAGAGTGAAAGAAGAATGATTTCATGTAAGTTTGGCCTAAATCAACCAGTTATTATGATGTTTGAAGGTTTTGCACTGAGTGACCCGTTATGAGCCCCTTTTCTGGGTATAAATTGTGATCCTCATCATCTGAAGATCATTTTTATTGATAGTAAAAATCCACCAGTATGTTTCAGAAGAATTCTTTCAATGTTCAACACTTGATGAAGCACACTATTCTCTTTCCTGTTACAAATGGTGTGATTGTGGCCCTCACCACACAGAGAGTTAAAACCTGGGTTGTGGTGTTCGAGGGCGAACACATTGAAAAAAAGGGGGGAGTAGTGTGGCAGGTTTAAATTGTACATAGGATTAAGGTCATCTTCTAGCTTCGAGCTAGAGGGAATTTCCCTTTAGCCAAGTGGTAGAGCGTCCGACTAGGAACCTGGAGATCGAGGGTTTGATCCCCGGTGGAAGCACATTATTCTCTTTCTGTTACATTCCGATTCCCACCACAGGCTGATGATTATACTCTACTAATTAAAGTTCTCCCTTTCTGACTTATGAGATATCTCACTGAACTCTCCCTTCAGGCTTATGGTAACTCCATTCAATTCCTCTTGTCTAAGTTGTTCCACTTACCTCCCCTGAGCTTCCTACTGGCTGTGGAGTGTACTGGTCATCAAGAATGACTACTTCAACCCCAGGCAGTATTCGGCCTACTGGACAAAACTTTCTGGAGTTTAAAGCTCCCTGTAAAACAAAATCATCCTGCCTGCTATGCATATACTCAGGCTGTTAGGCTGTTACGTATTTATCCTATGTATACTTGGGCTGTTACACCATCACATTGATATATAACATGTGATATCACCCATTATATTGCACATAAGGAGCTATACGATAATGCACATTGCAAAGTCATGGAAAAATTCTAAATTTATGGAGATGCACTTTGATTCATTCAAATTATATGTTATTTTGATATAAAGAACCCAAAACTTATTTCCATTCCATCAGAATTTAGGTAACTCATGGAAGCTTGTTTCTAATAATGGTAACTGAAGAAAACTAATTTGAGATTCTCCACAGATCTTAGAATGTAATGATCTTTTATGTATACATCAATGGGGATGTTAGTACCTGGTTTGTTTGAAAATATTTCCCAAGATCTTCACAGGCTACATCATGACACTCTGATACACTGTATAGATTCAGGAACTGTATCCATGGCAACAGCTTCAGACAACGTTCAAAGAGAGCTGTGGTGACCACCTCCCCACAGAAAAAGATCTGCCTGAGAAATTGATATCAGTTATATAGTCCAAAACATTTCTAAGTATTCAAAATAAGTTTCTTTTCAATCGTAACTATGGTTTTGATGTCAAGAAAGGTGTTCTTAAGTCTAAGAATTATTTTGAGGCTCAGCGAAGATGTTCAGAATTATCTGTATAGGTATAACTTCTGCAATATTCTGATGATTGGTTTTAAAGTGGAGCCCCAAGCCTGAGATGTTCAAAAGTACTTACTTCATACTCTTAAGCTTTGTTTTCAGGTCAAGTCCTGGGGTGTTGAGAACAGCCTCCAGTAGGGATGGTGTGAACAGCATACGTGTGATCTTGTGTTCTTGTAGGAAGTCACACAGCAACGGCGGATCATAGATGACTGTGTTTGGGATGATGTACATTGGGATGCCTGCGGACCAGACACACATGTGGTTTTAGACTAATAGAATCTTCCCCTACCTTGAGGGTGTGACAGAGAAATCTCCAACCCGGGGGTTTGAGATTTCTCTGTTACACCCTCAAGGTAGGGGATGATTATTTTTCTTCCATCCTATTATTTCAGTCACAGCTCCACCGACAGTAGTCTGCCATGTTTGTAAACAAAAACACATGTGGGGTATGCCTATCGTCATTCACTTTTGATGACATTACAATTACCAATGATGCATTTTAATGACGTCACAAAGGAACACGTGCTAACCGGCACAACCTATCTCCCCGTAGGGGGTGACAAGCTGATCTTTCCTGGCTAAAATGGGAGACACACCTGTGAAGGGTGGGAGCAATGAGTGTCTTTCCCTTTAACGCCCAAATCTTAACCTCAAAGTGGGGAATAGTTCCTTCTATCTTAGTAAACAATTATGAACCGTGAATCACCTAGTTACAATATAATTAAAAAAAGGCATCATTCAAATGTTTTTATTGTGAGGTCATCACAGAAAATAGTGTAGACATTTCCATATTCAGTCGTTTTGGTAACAGGATGTTTTGGTACCAAGATGTTTTGGTACTTCTCAAAAGACATTTGGATAGTCTATAAGATATTCAGCACTTGGACTATGTTTTATCTTTGCATTTTGATTGCTTTTTGTGTTTTGCATGTTGCTGATAAATATTTCAAGATTCTTTAGCATTTTTTGTATTTACAAAAAAGCATCAGAACATACCATTCTTAGGTACTGAAACTACTGGTTATCAACAAGTAAAGGATTCACAGAAAACATGTAGGATATTACACACTTGGTTGGAACAAGAAACCCCCATACCAGGAAAGTCATGAATATATGGTTATCAGGGGGAAGAGAAAGATGCAATGGGAACAGCTCTCATAGCAGTAGCACTTACAGTGATACATATTTTATTTACAAGATTTAGAATTTTTTTAAATGATTGGTGTCTTCGGTTTTGACTGTGAATGGTAAATTTCCAAGTACCGGGTAAGAACCAGTTTGTGGAGTGTCTGTTGGGTGTTAACCTATCAGGAGTGTCTGTTGGGTGTTAACCTATCAGGAGTGTCTGTTGGGTGTTAACCTATCAGGAGTGTCTGTTGGGTGTTAACCTATCAGGAGTGTCTGTTGGGTGTTAACCTTTCAGGAGTGTCTGTTGGGTGTTAACCTATCAGGAGTGTCTGTTGGGTGTTAACCTATCAGGAGTGTCTGTTGGGTGTTAACCTATCAGGAGTGGTTGTTGGGTGTTAACCTATCAGGAGTGGCTATTGGGTGTTAACCTATCAGGAGTGGCTGTTGGGTGTTAACTTATCAGGAGTGGCTGTTGGGTGCTTACCTTTCAGTAGAGGCCGTAACATTTCCCAGGTGAAAAAAATGTTGCAAGCCTCTCTGTCCTCAGGGCCATAGGGGAATGCCAGGTGGCGCCAGTGGTAGGAGAAAACTGACCCCCTGTGTGGACACATTATGCCTGGAATGTAGATTAAACATCATGAATTATTTATAACGATCTGTACAGTTTAGGAAACTATAAGTGCAAAATGAACTCATTCTATTGACCAAAGACAGAAATTCTCAGATTTCTAGAAGAACTTGAGCATTGACAGTTCAGCAAGGCTCTGCAATGTGCCTGACCTTACTCCCCATTGTCTGTTTTTAGTAACAGTGACTATGACAATAACACTTTTTAAACCCCTTTGTGTATCGTGTACTTCACCATACAGCTTGCCTGAAGTAACATTCTGCAGCGTGTACACTACCTTCAGGTTACTCTGTAGTACTCTACCAGTAGGTTTTGTGTAGGTAGTACTCCACCTTAAGGTTAGCTTGTAGTACTTCACCTTTAGATTTGTGTAGGATTTTACTAACTTAAGGCAAGTCAGTAGTGCCTAACCTTTAGGTTTTCCTGTTGTTCCTGAAGAATACACAATATAAGCCAGACTGTCCAGTGTGGTTGAAGTTGACTTATCAGTCGTCTGGTCAGTCTGCTTCTGGACGTCCAGTTCCTTTGACCACCCCTCTTTCAATACTAGGACATTCTTTCTGTCTACAAATTAGAATTGGGCAGTAATGTATCTGGAAATCATGCATAAAATGTAAATTTTGACTGACATGAAAAAAGTAGTCCCATACCTGGACGGCTTTGCTTACCTGGAAAAGCTGAAATGAGGTAAATCTAAAGAGATGTGTTTATTACAATGAGTTGTGCTTCTTAACTAAGGACTGCACAACAGTTCTCTTACCTGGAAGAGCTGAGACCAGATCTGGAGAAGTAATGATAACAACAGGCTCTGCATCCTTAAGTATGGACTGTAGGAGGGGCTGAGGGTAGGCTATGTCCAGGGGCAGGTAGGCTCCTCCTACAAACAGGCAAAGCATTTATTTCATTAGATATCATTGAGCATCTTTATGGATGGATGGAAAAAAGAGCACTTAATTGTGCATGAATTAGTTCTAACATGAATAAAAACATTTCAAAGTTTAGAAGATCTGTGGGAGCTGGAAGTTATTTGTACTGAGAAGTGAATATATATATCTTTCGAAGAAAGATACCTAATCAGACTGCTCAATATAAACATACTTAACACAGAAGAACTGATGAATTAAATTAAGCACAACTGATATATACTTAAACCTTTTGTAAAAAGTATGTTTTTTCATTACCAATATCACATTGCCATTTTTGTATTTATACGACGAAACAGCTCCTATATAAGACATAACTTGACTTACCTGCCTTGAGGATAGATATGTAGGACAGAGAGAAGTTGATGCTCTTGTTGAGATAGATCCCAACACATTTGTCTGTGGTCACACCCTGCCTACTTAGGTAGCTGGCTAGGATGTTGGTGAGATCCTCAAGTTCTCTGAAGGTCATGTGATCGCCGTCTGCCTCCACCAGCGCCACCTGTGAGGGTGTGGCCTCAGCCTGACGGGAAAACATCTCGTGTAGCAGGCCCTGCTCCTGGTAGTCACTCATCTCCTTTCCTGATTGGTTAGTCATCCTGCCTTTTGATTGGTCAATCAGCTGATGTCATACAATTCACAGAAACACATTCTATATAGTGTAAACCTTGATAAAATGAATATCTCAATACAGGAAACCTCTATAATTGGACACCTTTGTTCTGTGGACAAATTCTATATTGGAGACTTTAAAATTGTTTTACAGTGGGCAATAAACAGGACAATTATGAAGTCTCACAGAAGTGAGAGCAAGCTAATGGTATATTACTTGGGAGACTGAAGCTTTCCAACAGTTGAGGAACGTTTTGGATACAATTAGTCTAGTAGTCAGGATCAAGATCAGATTTTGAGATTTCCTTTCCACTCCGGCAACTCTTGTTTGACATTTGATTAATGAAACACATCTAAAACCTCAATTAGTTTTGATGGATGCAAGAAAAAAAACATTCTGTATTTTTCTTTTTTTTTAAATTAGTTTTAATAATATCCTCCATTTCAAGTTTAGTGTTTAGGGGTAGCGGTATATTTGAAACTATATATCTAATATGCATATGTTGATATATACCTATACCATTGTAACCAGGAAACGATAATAAACATTCTGATATACATATTTTTAATTCCAAAAATCTAAAATCTTTTAACCAATTTTGGTGCAACACAAATTATATTCAACATCGATTATGAATATTATGGAACAATTTTTTGGGTATGAATTTCCACAGACACATACAAAAAGGTCTCTGTTATGGGATCATTCAAATGATGCCACAGTTCTCGGTATGATTTAAGCTTATGTCTTGTTAACGGAGACAATTCATTGGCTGTGTGTATATAATGATGTAACATCCTATTATAGAAGTATTATTTTGTGATATTTCAGATTATTTCAAAATTAAACGGTTCTATTTCACTATTGAGAGGATAGCTTGTGTATAATATCAATCAATGAAGGGAATGTAGATAATAAATACCAAGGATATAATGTCAAAGAGATATGGCGGGTTGCTATACCTATTTCCCCAAAGCTATGTTACGCTAGTGCGCGCATCCAACCGTGCACTGTTATGACACGTCCTCGGGTATTTTTATACAGGTAGCAATATCAGAATCCCGTGTCTAAGAATAGATTATTGTAAACAGACCACATATTTGGTATTTCGGCATTATTTGTTGGTGTTTAAGCACTTGATATAATTACTATTGCCAGTTGGACGGTAAAACAATTCATAAATTTCATCAAAAATAATGTCTTACCTACACAGCGTAGCTGTACTGTACACGTGTACAGGGATTTGTTGACATGCTTCGATAGAAGTATGTCGCACTAAATAGTAAAGAAATTATTACTAACAAAACTGATAAATCAATAGGTATGTTAATAAAATGTAAACAAAATCTTCTATCCATTTAAAAAAAAAACATTGCCTTATTAAGGAAAATGATCACATGCCTAAATATTTAAAAAGAAAATAACTGAAGGAGGATTCAAACCTGCACCTTTTTTTTCTAGTCGCAAGTAAACCGCGTTATACATTCGGCTACATAGAACATATAGATATTGGCAATTACAAACTTATTTAACCCTTGAAACACCGGTCGCAGTTTAGAGAAACTTGATCACCCCTGTTTTTCATTATTTTGAGCACTTTCCCAAAGGAGGACCACTTTTCCGTAATACGATTTGTTTTTGCATATTACATCACAGTCACAAAAAGTTTATTCAAAAGTTGGTCCTCGGATGGGAAAGTGTTGAAAGTATTTTTTTATGTCCGGGAAACCCCATCACTTTCATAGATATAGTGTATATGGCTATATTTGCAGTATCATATTAGCAATACCTAATTTCTCAGCAGTTTAAAAATTCATATTCAATTGGTTTTGTATCTTTTGTGTGCATTTTTGCTACACGAAATGTTTTTCTCCTTAATTTTTTTCCCCGTTTTCATAAATGCCGACTTAGGGAAATACGGGCAGTTTTCCGCCATACCTCTTTACATAACTCATTTGTTTAAACACTAATAAAATAAATGTAATAGAAGTAAACTAACAAACACATTAGTCAAGTATTGTTTAGACATTTATGCATTACAAGAAAAAGACCATTAGACACCTAGTACCTCATGAAACATTTCACAAAAAGTATAACAATTACCTGTAGTATGATGTGTTACCCTCTAAAAGTATTACCATTGCCTGTAGTATGATGTGTTACCCTCTAAAAGTATCACAATTACCTGTAGTATGATGTGTTACCCTCTAACAGTATAACAATTACCTGTAGTATGATGTGGTACCCTCTAAAAGTATTACAATTACCTGTAGTATGATGTGTTACCCTCTAAACGTATTACCATTACCTGTAGTATGATGTGTTACACTCTAAAAGTATAACAATTACCTGTAGTATGATGTGGTACCCTCTAAAAGTATTACAATTACCTGTAGTATGTGTTACCCTCTAAAAGTATTACCATTATCTGTAGTATGATGTGTTACCCTCTAAAAGAATTACAATTACCTGTAGTATGATGTGTTACCCTCTAACAGTATAACAATTACCTGTAGTATGATGTGGTACCCTCTAAAAGTATTACAATTACCTGTAGTATGTGTTACCCTCTAAAAGTATTACCATTTCCTGTAGTATGATGTGTTACCCTCTAAAAGTATAGTATGATGTGTTGCCCTCTAAAAGTATTACAATTACCTGTAGTATGATGTGTTACCCTCTAAAAGTATTAAAATTACCTGTAGTATGATGTGTTGCCCTCTAAAAGTATAACAATTACCTGTAGTATGATGTGTTACCCTCTAAAAGTATTACAATTACCTGTAGTATGATGTGTTACCCTCTAAAAGTATTAC